AAATTAACTTGGAAGTAAGATTGGCCTGAGTGGTTGGGATAATATGAAGGTTAACAATGATACAGTAAAGGGTAAGATTTTTAGCGTTTTTTTTTCATCATGATTTTTGATGGTGAATAAATATGTTCAACAGTTTAAAACAAGTGTTTATAATACTTACAGTAAGATTGTGTGATCAAATATCAATTGTTGTCCTGGTTAATAACCTTTATGATTACCTGAGTCTAATAATAAAATGAAAAGACTAATCAATAATTAGACTTAGGTGAATTGTATAGGCTACTAATGGTGACAGTAAAACCAAAGTTTGTTAATCACCTCTTCTTCTTTGTTATATAATTAAAAGTATGCAAGGAGTACCCACTATTTATTTTTTCAGGTTCTATGTTTTCATGTGAAGAAAAAATAATTTGTGAAACATGTGCTTTTGTTTTTAGTTTTTGAGCTCACTCAATAGGTCTGACCTTGTCAAGTTGTACTTAGTCTAAGGGCCAAAAATACCACTAATAGCAAGGATATCCAACTGATGACCTCAGGCAGAGTGATCAGAGGTTTTTGTGATTTGGTTGTAACTTAAAAGTAAGACTAAATATCATTGTTATTTTTATTGAAGATGTTCATTAACTCTTCTGGTAAGAGTTATTACATAATTATGTATCCAGGTCCTTAAAACTGGCTTACTGCCACACACCAGCAATGAAAATATTTTTTGTTTTCATTTCACAGCACATTTACTGAGTTAAATAGGTATAAAGTTTTTATTTAAAGAAAAAAGAATATAAAATATTCAACAAAAGAAAAATTTTCTGCAATATATTTTATTCACATCAATTATAAAACTAATTCTATACTGTCTTCCATTAATAAAATCCAGTATTTAAGATTGGTCGCATGCTAAGTATCATTTAATATTTTATGAAATGAATTTTCTCTTTAAACTGAGACTAGCATACGATGCTTTTCCAAAAGAAAATCGTAAGTCTTAATAAAGACAATTTCACTATCTTTTATAAAATTAAATGTTTGAAATATATTGAGAGTGTCAGTTGAATATATTTAATTATGTGATGCAAATATGGGAATTCACTTGATCCCTTCCTTAATGCTATATTTATAGGTTATGTTACAATTATTACTGCTTGTACCTAGGTTTATCAGAAAAGTGGTAGTATATTGCATTAACATCATGCAGTAAAATTTCTGAGTAGTTGCAAAAAACAGAAACACTACTGTCTATTTGGTGAAAGCAATAATTCAATATACAAACCTTTTCAACTGTGACAAGCTCTTTGATATTTTCCATTTGTATACCTTTAAATGATTACAATATGATGGAAATTACCAACAAATACATTTTACCTCAAAGCTGCAACATTTGATTTTATGTAAGCAACATACAAATATTAAAAGAAAACCATAAAATAATTTTTTGTGTAAATATAATATCATTTTCATGATCCTAAACAAGTTTCTGTCTTTGTTTCTGTGTAGTGTTCAGAATGGTTATGAACCATGTATATTTTCACAGACCACAAATGAATCATTATCAAGCACATTCGTATAACATACGTAGCTGAATTTGAAGTTGTTTTGTTCCAGGGTGGAAACTTTTAAAAATCCATCACAAAATAGTAATAATTTTGTATCAACATAAAAGGCATGATTCAAAATATTTTCAAAAACAAAAGATAGTTGGACATGTTGTGCTGAAAATTGTTTACATAGTTTTAATTATTCTTTTATTGCTTGCAACAAATTGCTTGTTTTTCAACATGGACTAACCATGCATTGCTTGCATATAAAACTAAACAGAGTTAATGAAGTACATTTTCCAGAACTCATAAACTGTGTTTGATAAATTCACATTTTGTAACTTAGTATAAATCAATCAATTACTTCCATAGACTATCTCAAAAGGAGGATTCACCAAAAAAGTGTGGACTTTATATAAAAAGTTTAAATGTTATATACACTAATATTAATAAGTTCATTTCATGCTGCTTAAGAACTCAGAAGAATATCCAATTCAGAACTTCAAGTAAAAGTTAGTAAATTTGGTCATGGAACTGTAGTTTCTCATTTTAGCTATTCTGGATGGTGGATTTATATGAGAAGTATCAAATGGCAGAGTCTGTTCTCCAAATTATAATCTGGTCCCCAAGAACTAGGATCTAAAAACCTTTTCCCATTCATAAAAAGTTAATATTTAATATCAAACATGGAGTATTACATTATTACACATTAACATTTAAATGATTAATTAAAATATGAGCTACTTTTTTGATTTAACAATTCACAAATGAGTTTTAAAAATGAAGTGACTAAGCTTAATGAAACATTTAAATGAAAAAAAAACAACTGGAGTGGGTATTAATGCAACTTTTTGTCTCATTCTTTGGTGGTGAAGCTGATATATGAAAACACAAGTTTGTTGTTGTTTTACTGAACTGGAAATTCACATATGTTTTTTTTAGAAAACTGAAAACTGTAGGTATCCATGTGTTAATGAATCCAAAGGATTTTGACACCAATGGAATAAATAAAAATACATTTCTAAATTTTGTTTACCACTAGGTTGTTATATAGTCTTGTTTAACAAACATATTTTTATATTCATATAAATAGAATAAAAGTTAAATTAATGATATAATCATGCACCATAAAGGTAAACAAACTTCAACTGTTCCACTTATTTGGATCAGAATTTTTTCTTTTTTTTTAAATAAATAGAACCTTGCAACTGAGTTTGTGGACACTTATAGAAGTTTTGTATTATGAATATAATATCTATAAATAGTTAATAATGTAAGTTACTTAAGATTTCAAGTATAATAGTATGGCCTTAGAAACAAATGATTATTTTATGAGACTGCCCTATTTTAGAATGTTTCCTGCAACTTTTTAAAAACATTAACTACTAAAAGAAACAGCAATAAAAACTAAATGTAATTACTGATTAACTTACTAAGTAAGTCACTCATATGGCTTGCAAATTTTTTTTTTGCATAATAACTTACTGTTTGACAGAGGAAGATAATTATAATATTTTTGCTAATATTTTCGGAGGATTTCATTTCTAATTCTAAAGCCAACTGGATAACAGATATACAAATTTCAAATATTACCAAAAATTACAAGTACTACATTTGTTCACACAGAATATTCTATACTACTAAGTTACAGCATCAATATTTCTGTTAGAAATAAAACATTTAGTTTGCAACTTATCCTAATAAACTTAAGAAATAACTCAATAAATCAAATACAAAAAAACAGTTTATTAACCAATGGAGATATAATTTCTTAATTTAATATGTATTAGAATCCAAAACTTTGAGCTCTTATTAAGATTTTTATCTTTTTTCCATGTCGAAAACTTCAGAATAAGCTCACTAATCTAAAGATTATAATAAACCCTATCTCAAATTGGACAAAAACAAAAAACATGTATTGATCACACTACTTGCAAGTGACTTGAATACAAGGGCAACTAAAGATGGAACTGTTTTTCATTGCCAACAACACATTCTTTCCTCATTATCAAGTTATTAAACATGCGTATGTAACACGACACTTAGCAGACGAATGAACTGTTGTAAATCTGTATTACCTGAGAGAAAAGTTTCCCAATAAAACCATCAAATGTCCTTAAGAGTTTGACTATCATCTGTTTATTCATGTTATATTTCACAAAATCTGCTTACTTTATGTACTTGTATCACCTCTTTATAACTAAATCTGAAAAAATTACTTCAACAAAAACAATTACAATAAAACTTAAAATAAAGAAGTAATAAAGTAAACATTAATGTCTTATTGTGATGGGGAATCTCATTCTAAATCTAGTTGTCTCAAATGGTACTTTAGATAATGGGACCATGAAAACGTAAATGTTTCCAGTCTGTTCTCATTATAAAGTATTGGTAAACTAAAATGACAATACATTCTATAATAGTCTCAGAATTTGGTAATTTATATTATAATGATAATTTCAGTAGAAGAACAGTAACAAGCATTCCATACTGATTCTGGTCATTATGACAAAAATAATTCAAATTAAACAAAAACAGTTAGAGAATATCTCTTTCTATGTACATAAATGATTAGGCTGAACAAATATTAAACTAAATAAACATGTTTAGTCGAAGGAAAATGTGACAGCTAACACAGAGCACTTTCAAATTTCACACCAAGAATAATAATTTAATTTAGTTTATATATAAAACACTTTTTTTGTAAAAATGAGTGCTGCTGCAGCTGAAAAAAGCTTCCACATGTATTTACAAGTTGTAGAGAATAATTGGTTCTCTGGAAACGATCAGCTGAACACATATTCACAAATGTTAACCAATATAACATTTACTCTGCTTTATTTCCTATGAAATAACAGCATATTATTCAAGAACTAATAAGACAAAAACTGTTTTGTCTGATGTAAACTAATCATTTGAGATGTTCTCCAGCACAAGCAAAAACTTCATCAAAATTATATTTACAGTAAAACATACGTATTTACCATCTTATTGTTTAGTCAAGCTAACTATAAGACAGTGTATCAAGATAACAGTGCCAAAAGTTGCATTTTTATAATTATATAAATCCTGCATTAATCAATTTATCAAGAGTAGAAGGCTATAGTGACTTAGAAATATTCTAAAGTAAGTAAATATTTCAATTTCAACTCATTTTGTACATAAGTTGAAAAGAATGACAAAGCTGGGTGTTTACTCATGAGCAAAAGTCTAGGAGCTGATTATGGCCATAAAAAAAAGTCTATTTAACAAGAAATGTAATCAATTATACATTTTAAACCACTTTTGCCCTTTAATTTTCTTCTGCAGTTTTGTGTGGTTTTTAGTGAATTCATAACCTAAGAAATCTAATTTAGAAAATGATTTCCTTTCACTAATGCTGGATGATGCTAGAAATATTTTAATCACAGATTTGCATTTTCATTAAAAATTTTCAAACTAAAGTATTCCAAAATTAAGGTTAAAAGATAACATACAAAATTTAAACAGCTATATCATATTCGTACATTACACACAATGATATGTTCTGGGTAAACTACATTTCCAAATACTCTAGACACCAAAGCTCCGAAGTTAGTCTCTTCTGAAATGGAATGTTTAACACTTTCTATTATTATTATGTAAAAATCATATTCAAAATGCAATTATGCAGTTCATGGAAAAATATGAATCAAAACAAATGTTATCAATTATGACCAAAAATTTAGTAAATCTGCTAGAGAATAATCATGTAATCACATCTAAAACAACTTTAAATATATTTTTATGCCTTAATATTATATATATACATCAATAAACATAATCATAGAAAATACCTGTATACACATAAAACAGTTCTAGACCACATGTACAACTGTTTGTAATATTTTTAAATAAACAATAAATAACTTTTACAGAACTTCACTTTCATAAAATTGAGAAACTGTGTGTCGATAAGAAGGTGTTGATTATTACTTATACATGTACAAAGCAAATATCAGCTTCTTTTTATATATATATAATTACAATTTATGTACTGAAAGCTCTAACTTGAGACATTTCTACACTAATTTATTAAAGTCACTCGACTCAACTGATGGAAGTTTGTGTTCGAGGCTGAAGGCTACATTATGTTTGTTACTATTAGAGCTGGAACTGGTTGCATCTGATCAATCTTAAAGATACTGTTATCATCATCTTGTTATACACATCACCACTAAAACCAAAAGAATCAAGGTTCTCAAGTTGAACAATTCCACAGAAGATGATCCACATATCAAAATGTCTTTGAAGTAGTGTTTGTCATTAGATGAAAATGAGGCAGCTTTGATGATACCAGGTTTACACTTCATTCCTAATCTCTAGGGAAACAATTAAACAAAATATTTCAGATAGTTTCTTGTATAATCAAAAACAAACACACAGAATATAAATATTAAAAAAAAAGCAAATTTTTGTACTTATTTCTGAAATACAGACACAAACAAAATTATTTGTCCCTAATTACAAAAGAACAAAATCAGTAAATTTTGTTATTGCTAAAATAGCTTCACTCTGTTAATGACTAATAAGCTAACTATTGTTAATATAGAAGTTCATGTAATAATACATATGACTTATATATGCAAGTAAAAAATTTAATCAAAGGTGACATGAAACAAGGGTTTATTAGCAGAAAAAAATCTATAGGAAAATGTTATTACCAAATGCATCATTAACCAAACTACTGATCTTAAGGAGTAACTATGCAAAATACTGCCTGACTTTTTAATACACGTATCTTCTCAACCAATTACAAAACTATATACTAATATTCTTGGTATAGATAGATTATTTAACAAGTGCTTTAAGAAAAAAACCTAAAGGTTCAAATCTAATCTTGTTTTCCCTCAATACTCAACTTACATCACATAGTTCATCACACGAAGGACAAACAAGAGTGCCAATATGCAACCAGCCATTAACATAACGTTGTATTTTGATATCCTGTCCCTCCTGATAGCAAGTGTAGGTTTTGTTAGCTACTTCTACATGTAACCGACCACCATAACAATGATACTATAAAAATAATTTTAAAAAAACTATTAGCTGACATGTAAACATAACATTAAGAATATTTTTTAAAAATAGAAATATATGCACACAAACAAACAATTAGCTAAAGCAATTTTAATAATCCTAAGCACTTATTCATTATGCATAGATGATGTACACATTCATATATATATATATTAGGCCTTTAGTTACAATTTATTTTAAAAAATTGTGATATTCAACTCTACAAGTTCTAGTACTTTAACTGCTTCTTCTATTGGAAAAATTACAATAAATATGATATAAAACAGCCTTGTAACACCCATTTCCAAGTTAAGCTATCATCTGTAATTTGAAAAGTGATAAAATTTCAGATGGTAGAACGTTCTCCTTTGCCTTACCAATGTTTAAAATGTACTCTAATGTTGCTACTACCTCTAACAACATCCTACTGGTAAAAACTTATTTTGCTAGACTTATAACTTATTGTAACAATGTCCTATGTCGTAATCTGTGCTTTCTCTATGAAGTCATTATCTATACTGTGAGCAGTTGCAAAATTCTACCTGATAACACCCACTTCCCCAATGCTGCCAATGTCTCTCCTGTTGACATGTTCGTTCTACCCACATCTCCTTGTTGTGGTTAAAACACTTTGAGGAAGGACCATAATATTCTAGAGCAAAATTTTTCTCTGGAACTGTAAGAAAACAGAGAAACCTGAAATCCTTATATTGATTGTTTTAATTCACAAAGTTAATAATCAGTAGCACTTACAAATTTTTAATGGAACTCAAAAGCCACTTGTATTACATCAAAATATTTATTTCTACTATTCAAGATGTTCCAGAATTTTAATATTGTCCAAATTTTTCATGAATTACAAAAATAATCAGAAAATGTAATTAAAGATCTCAAGGTTTTTGTTAAATAAATTAAATTTACAGGAAATGTTCAGTCAGACTTCAACCAACATGACTTTTTATAATTTACTGATTTCATAATACAGCTTGTTTAGTAAAAAATACAAGTTTAGCTTTTCTTTGAAACAATTTTACTTTAATGTCACAAATCTTTAACAGTGTTCCTAAAAACTTATCACAGCTTAAATATCTTCATAAAGTTTAGAATAACAGTAGATATAGTTTTAATTTTCAGGAAAATCATGCATAAGTTTTAACAAGTATTAACCACATTCTTAGTTTTATAGACTCAAAACGTTTGGTTTCACTAAATAGTTTCTAGTTTAAATTTTATTTTATTATACTTTAGCTGCTGAAACTATTTTTAAAAGTTTTGTCAAAAATTCTATTATGATATGCCAAACTTAACTTGTTGAATCACCTGAGCCAACAGTTTGAATTATAAACCTGAACCAAAGCATACAAAGCTGTTTGCTCACCAGGAGTGTTCTCTCCATACTGGCACCTAGATCCACGAACTGCTACATCATTGGATTGCCAAGTGAATTCCTTAAATGGAAAGAAAGACCTTCATTTACTTTTATACAATGCATAATCTACCAAAGCATCTGTGGCTTTTATTATAAATTACAATCCCTAAAAATCTGAATAACAATGATAGAACACTCTTAAATGGGCCTAACTGCCAGTCAAACTAACTAATACAAAAAAAGAAAATCAACAAAAACTGTTACACCACCAATAGTTTATAAGTTTCAAAATGACTTATTTGTTTAACTGATATTATAACATAAACTGTAAATAGTTTCTATAACACAAATTCCCCATTTCTGTTTATTTGTTTGTTTTTGAATTTCGCGCAAAGCTACACGAGGGCTATTTGCACTAGCCATCCCTAATTTAGCAGTGTAAGACAAGAGGGAAGGCAGCTAGTCATCACCACCCACCTGAGTTGTAACGTCGTAACATGTAGAGTCGTCAACTTTTTGAAGGCCATAGATAGGCCTCAATTAAATGTTTTTAATTGTGTACCAGTTTAACGTTAAAAATTATTTATGATTTTATCATATTTGTAATGTTTCAAAACCCCTTTACTCAAATTATTTTGATAAAACTTTTTTTTTTCAGAATTGATAGACTAAAGGGAAGGCAGCTAGTAAACAGCATCCACTGCAAATTCTTGGACTACTCTAATCTAACAGAGGGATTTCACCATCATTCTTGTAACAAAACCACAGCAACAAAGTGCAGAGTTCAATTTTGTGACAACTGTACACAAACCATAAAATCTTGACACTTTTATCAGAAAAAACAATTTGCTATGTAGTCGATTTCATGAGAGAAAGTTGAATCTGAGAGTATGTTTGTAAGGTAGCTTGTAATACTTAATTAGTATTGTGAAATGACTGGTGGAGTTGACACAGTGTCTGTGAATTAGCTTGGTATCTTGAATCTGTAGAACAGGGAAAAATGTTGGAGCCACAACAACATTTGTAAAGCTGTCTATGAACTTCTATATTATGGAAAGAATTCTGGATCTAAATGAATGTTTGTAAGATAGCTTGTGACATGGAATATACATTGTGGAAAATCTTCTAATGCTGACAGAATGTCTGTAAGATAGTTTATAATATTTACATCATGCAAGAGATCTTCTGGCTGAATGGTTTCTTTAGGGTAACTAATAACTTATGAATTCTGTAAATTGTATGTATCCCTAACATGTTTCCAAAACTGCACATTAGAAGAATACTACTATGTAACAACTGAACAAACCTGAACATAAGGACAATAATCGGCCAAAACTACTGAGCCTCCATACTTCCCTACATCTTCATCAGGAATCCCAGGTATATAGTCAAAGTTCTACCAAAAAGACGTAAATGCAATGTCAAAATATGAAAAATAATGGGCATACACATTTATCAATTATGAAACTTTACCTCCCTAATATTTCAGAAGACACTGGCTTTAAAACGTTATCAATAAACTAAAAAATAACTATTGCAACTGTTTCATACTATTGTCTTTTTAAGCTCATATTTTCAAGTTGTTTTTTGGATGCTGTGATTGGTTAACATGGATCATGATACTGTCTAACTCAATATACACAAACATGTAAATCTATAAACATTAATAGTTTCTATTAATTTATTACAAATAGATATAATAATAAGTCACTTATTATAGCTAAAATTTGGAAAAAAGACATTAACATTTTAATATTTACTCAACATTTACTATAGTAACCAAATAGCTGGTTTATTATGATAACATTTGTTCACTGCATGTTAATATATTTTAACTCTAGTGACAAACAATACAACTAATGAAAGGTTGGTATTAGTAAGTATAGTAAAAATAACTAAGGAAAAATATACGCATATCTATTAAACTGTTTCAAATCTATTTTCTTTAAATAGATAATGATAAATGTGATAACGAGCACCATAATACCACAATGGTGATGTAATAAAATGATAATACATTGCTATTCAAAGAACTACAATTAAATTCCCACTAATTCTGACGGGTATACCTGTCTTCATCAGCCTTTGCTCCTGCAGAAGAAAGGTCTGCTTGCTCAAGGTGTTAGCTAGTGTTTTGGAATTTTTTCAATATGATTTACTACCCTTTTTTTGGTACTATCATGAATTTGATATAACATGTGTTTAGTAAAGATAACTTAAAAATTGCAAAACTCAATGAAATACTTTCACTTAAAACAATGTGAACCAATAAACAAATTCAAATCAACTTGGTAAGGAATTCTTATCTGTATGAATTCTTGTTACATGAGTAATTAGTGTGGCTTCCAAACAGCACCACTGGAACTATACCTGGAACTCACGTCTGAGTGGCCTGTCATACTGTACCAAGTTACACAAGGCCACAGCATCTCTACTGTCAGTACATTCTGTCTCTAGAGGATCTCTTTTCACTTTATCACAGTAAGGATGAATACTCCATCCACTGCAAGGGGGAAAAAATTTACTTTCATGTCATCTTAAATTACGTAACTGGAAAGTTATTGAAACACTTGAAAACTATATGTTGATTTATCCATAAGTTGTTTGAAAAACTCAATATTTTTTGACAGAATTTCACACATAAAGCAGGCTGTAAAGATGAGATTATTAGTCCAACATATATGCGTGCTTCATATGTTCATCATTATACAATGTCAGTGTCTCTTTAAAAGTGTCAACTTAAACATGTTACTAAAGATCTTTGCAATAGGCATGTATACATTTGTACCATATAATGTTAAGCTTCTATGATCTTAGTGAGATGAAAACTGGTACATTCTCCATTTTGAGACTGGGCAGATATGGAAAGTTTCAGTCTTATGCTGTCTACTCTGGTTGAAATTCAGCTACAAAACATTCTCATGAAGCTACTGGCAGTGAAATTAAAACATTAATTTCTACTGTTAGATGAGATTGTGTTGATGAGTTATAATGATATAGATGCAATTTGTTAATATTGTTGTGAGCCATACTTGCAATGTTGTAATTTGTTTGTTACCTAGAGGGAGCTGCTAATCATGATGATGTAATGATCAAGAGACTTTACAAAATATTGAGAACAAAGGATACAGTTATAAGCAGTTAGTCTGTGTGTGTGTGTGTGCTAATTGGTTTAGTTTTCCTTTCATTCAGTGATTGAGAAGTAAGCGAAGTATTCAGATCAGTGTAATTTATTGCATATATAAAGTTCCTCGATTGACTAGCTGTGAAATTGTACAAGATTGTTTTTACATTAATTGTAGCACTTAGTATGTAAATTTCTGTTGAAAATGAAAAATTTACCTGTGAATAGCAGCTTGTAGCAAATATTAAGGAAGAAATAATTAATTTTGTTATCATTATTTCCACCAAGTAAACTAAAAGAGCCTGCTGAATGCTAAAAGTGATAGAACATGTTACAATAATACATTCATAACCAAAGAAACAAGCAAAATGTTCATATTAGTGAAACTGTCTTAAAACTTTAATAAAACTTAAAAGTACAATAATTTTGAACTGTAAACTAAGCTATATGTTCCACCGATTCATGTCTCTATCACAAAAACGTTTCCACTCTCATCATTAAATTTTGCTAATGACATTCACAATACTCTTAAAACAACCTGGTTTAAAATTACTGAATGATATTTTTGTCACACAATTTGCATAGTTTCAAACAACCTTTTGTATAAAGTTACTAAACCGTATTACCCTAAAAATGCTCATAAATAACATAAAGAATCATAAAAAATAGATGTTTTTTGCTGAATTTTATACAAAGTTATTTGAGGACTATCTGTGCTAGCAATCCTTAATTTTGAAGTGATAAACTAGAGGAAAGGCAGCTTGTCAATAAGACCCACTATCAACTCTTAGGCTCCGATTACCAAATAGTGGGATTTGACTGTCACTCTTATAATGCACCCATGGCTCCAAAGTACAAAGAACATTTTTTATGGTAGTAATGCAGTGCAAACTACAGAATCTCAGTTCCACGGTACAGCACACTTATCACTGGGCCTAATTGCCCCAAACATAGATGCTATCAACTACTTGTGCCACTGTTATAAAAAATTTGTACTTTGTAAAAAATATTTTTTTTATGTGTCTCTATTGTACATTTTTTGGTCATCAATAGAGCTTATCATGCTATTAAAACCATTATTAGTTTCGAGTCCTGAAAGTTTGCAATGATATAACAGTTAACTAGGAAAGGAAAATAACAATAATGTTCTGATTACTTATAAAACTTTATTAACCAACAAAACAAGACAAAAACTTAACTGAAGAAAGATAAAAAATTAAAATAAACTGAAACTCTAGTGTCTATACGTTTAATAATTGTACACTTTCTTTGTAGTAGTAGGTTTCATTTTACACCTTAATTTTATAGAATAACATACTTCACTCTTCTGTGTACTTTTATTCTATCATTATTAATAGGATATTTTAAAACATTGTGACAAACAATTTATTTTTTAACACATGGCAGTTCTATGAATAAAAGAAAAAAGGTACCAAGATAATAATGTTATGATGTTGAATGCAAAAAGTTGGCAAAGCATGAGAAACTAACTGGCCTAAAATATGTGATCAAAATTATGCTTCACTGCATATGTATTTTTCTGTATTTCTCTTCATTTGTCAGTCATGATTTTTCAATTCGGATATGTACATAAAAATGGCATTTCGATCTGCCAAATGTTGCTCTCAATACCAGTACTCGTCAGCTGAGCTGAACTATAACAGCCCAAAAGTATTTATACATGAAGCACGAGCACTAAAAGCTGAGGAAGTATTAAAACCCAATAGGACTAATACTCGTCATAAAAAGTTATGCTTCACTACAGATATATTTTCCCCATTCTTCTTAATTTGTCCACAATAATTATTAGATAACAAAATTAGGTCAGCACTTACCGAGTTCTGCGCACATCTATCCAATGTTTGCAGCTTTTAGTTGCAAAGTCACAGCCTAAGTTCTTACCCCAATCAAACTGTTGTGCCATTTGATAATTGGAAGCATACCAACTGAAACGTTGAAGGACCATTATTAGTAATATAATGCATAGAAATTTTCATAATAGTTTGCCAAATTTTTCATTTTAATAGCAGTATAGACAAATATATTCAGAAATACCAAGTGGCATTTGTTGATTTTCTAAATAATTACAGGAAAAACAGATCACTGCATTGTTGCATATTTAACTTGTTAACTGTGTGGCAGAAACTACATGCAGGCATTTACACTTCCTGAATAAAGACAACATCAACAACCACTACAATCTTTCATGCTTGCCAATCTATAAGATTACAATATAATGGAGGAAAAATAGGTTTAATTACAGCCAATATTATTATCAACAGCAGGGATACCGAAATGACGAACCACTCCATTCTAAATTTTATAAATAAGAATGTAAGAAAGGTATATTTAATTATAGTTAGAACTGATACCAACTTGAATTTTAGTTTTGTTCTAAGCAGGTAGCTTGCTTTTATCAGAAGTTAATGTTAATAACTGAAAATGTCATATTTTAGAGCCACTATCTATTATGCTTTTCACTGTAATACTTATTGAAACTTATTTTTGAATCCACTGTATATCATAAGATGCATTTTAAAAAACTAATTAAAAGTTCACCAAGACAGTTTGAATGTATTTCAAGATTTGTAGTAGTATATTTCTGCTTCGTAGTTGGAGCAAGACTAATGAAAACATTTATAAAAACATTATCTTTATCAAGTGGATTAGCAAGTAAAAGTATTTTAAAGCATGTTACATCACTTTCAATATTGTATCAGCTAATTAAGGCAAGCAGATATTGTGAAAAACAACAGTAAATTTGTACAAGAAATTACCCAGTATCCTCCATTAGAGCTAGAGTAATATGAGAATAAACAGGATTTTGTGTGTGAGTTCCTGTCATTGCTTCATTCTAGAAGAAGAAGAAAAAAATATGTATTTTATTTTGAGATTAAAAGAATCAGAGTTAATCTTAATACAGTTTCAACTCCTATGCAAAATAAAAGCTTGAGTTAATATAAATAGTTATCATTATAAACAAAGTAACTTTTATAAAATTTGTATGTTTAACAACACATGACATTAAGTTGTATTCACCAGTTAATGTAGCTTTGGGGAAATGTAAGAATAAGTTATTGTTGTATTAGATGTTTCTTTGATAAAGGGAACTGCTAATCATGATAATGATGATGATCCAATACCTAGAACATTTGTGCATGTGAAGGATTGAAATATCTAGTAACAACGGTACATTAGAAATACAAGTTATAAGAAGTCAATGAGTATTTCAGTTCAGTGTTATAAAGTAAGAGTTATAGTCAACTATTCAGTTACTAAGTGAGTTACATGGTTGTTTCAATAACAAAGCTAAGTAAGTTAGGTATAGGTACCATTAGTGAGGAATTTCTGTTAAAATGTTGTTTGTGAACTTAGGCCTACAACTTGTGTCAAAGAGAAAGTAGCCTGAAGTAAGCATTATAAATGAAATAAATCAATTTGTTATCATTACATGGACTATACTTCTCAATGTTTTCACCAAATAACTCAAAAGAACTAACCCAATGATAGAACAAATTACAACATTATGATACTTACAGAAAATTTGTGATTTCCTGGAAAAAAATAACTTGTGAATCCAGTGATAAAAAAAAAACTTGCAATTACCTCAAGTTTGCAAAGCACAGGTAAAGCAAAATCATTAAATCACAATTTGAGTTTCTTGATGTTTCTTAAAATAGTCAATTATCCACAACCACTTTGAATTTTATACTTTTACCTGGCCATTTTGTGTAGTGTAGGCAAATAATTTTTTTCAAGAAGAAAATCTATTTATACTCTACCCAATATACTAACCAGTGCTGGCTAGATTACCAAAATGCATGCATCTAATATTTTACTTATGTTGGAAGTTTCCAGAATTTGCTTTAGCCACTGCAGAAAAGGCTAAACATGCACATCCATAGCAAGAAGCCATGTTATCTGTCTTAGCTTTGAGGAGTGAATAATAATACAAAAAATGAAATACTGTAATAAGAGTGTTAATATTTTAATCCATTTACTCTTAAGTAGTCCAATATAGATTTTGATTTCACTTTGTGTGTTATAAGTTGCTTTACACAAATATACACACACATTAAAATAAAAAATATAATATGATCAATGGTATCCTTTGAGCACATACCATAAATTATTGATATTAATCACATAAGTACGAGGCAGGCCGTAGCACTGCCTATGTAGGGATGGCTTGGTTTGCTCATCAAAATGGTATTTTAAGTATCTCCTCAATATTTCATCAGAACTTTACAATACTGTACAGTGTTTCCTTTAATAACAATATCTATGTAAGGACTGAGTCACAAGTTTTGGGAATGTCTGTAAATATCATAGCAAAAAGTTTGATTTTCTTATTCATTTTTCTTCTGCTTCTTTTTTATTACATGATAACTCAAAAACCAAAACAACAGTGTCAACCAATTTCACTAAGATGACATAGTTTCAAATTGAGTATCTGGTTTTATATGTATTATTAATAATTAGGTAATAATTAAAAAGAAAACATAATTCTAGTGTGAATGAGTTATCATTACCCCTTGAAGTTAGCTTTCTTACAGAAATTTGGTGTTCCTTTAAAAAGTTTAAGTACAGGGTGAAACAGGAATTAATAATAGATAAACAATAAATATTACAATTGGAACCTCACCATATTTAGAACTTGGTTATAAATACAACCTTCCTATGTATATTGAAACACTGCATTAAAAACAAGTAAAGAAAAACTTCTCATTAAGGGAAGTAAATGTTGGGATGGCTAATATCAATCCTTTGAAAACAATGCAAAAAAGATAGTAGGGATGGTATTTAACTCCAAATTTATATAAATTTTTACAGAAAATCATATGTGTTTATATATATATATATGTGTGTGTGTGTGTGTGTATTAAGAAAGATCAAGAGAAAGTCAGACCAATTCGATTACATAACAAAGACATCAGTTAACACAGGAAAAATGCCACAAAAAGTTTCAAACAATATTCGGACCATACTCGAACTATTTATTGTTGTATACTGAGTTAACAACACATACTGATATAAATAATATGTGATGTCATCCGCAGAGTTTGTGCCTGTAGTCATAGAATAACAAATACTGCAAGTGTTATATTGATTCTATAAAAAGCCAATACTTCTATTACATTTTTTTAGCTTTCCTAGTTCAGCCATCAAGATGACTTTTCTGAAAATTTTTGATAGCGACTTGATCAAAATAAGATGAAACCACTTTTGTAATCAAAAACAAGTATACTTAATGTGATTTTTATCGACTTTAAAAGTTAGTTAAGACATTCTTTTATTTCTTCCTATATGTTTTATGTCAAACTCCCAAAAATTCTTCCTTTTAAGAATTTTTACTTTTCTTTTATGCAATATAAAGAGTCACTATTCAAAAATTAACATCTGATAGATACTACAGCACACATGTACATAAAACCAAATACAGATGAAGGTGGTTCATTGGTCACATGTATCGTTTAACATTACTACTAATTATTCTCTCTCATTTTTTTATCATACTTTCAAAAAACATTTCATCTTTTCTTGTGTACAAGCACTTACTTCAAAGAGTCGTTTCTCCCAATGTGTAAGCCAGGTTCCATTCTCACCTTGATCTTCCAATTCAGCACCTTCGAGGTATGGACAGTTGAAGTGCTTTCTTGCTTCTTCCTATTAAAACAACAAATCAATATAGTTTTAAATAGCACATTTGATGAAAATAATTAATCATAATAAAATCAAAATGTTTTGTCAGGAAAAACTCTAAGAACAACAGATGTTGAATGATATTACTTAAGACTATTTCAATAAATTTTGTTCCAGAAATTTCAATTAAATGTTTTAAAACCATTACATTTGATTAATATTCTTCAAATTTGATATGAAAATTTAACAAAAAATTTAAAATAAGAATTAATTATAATATATCTATATACATACATATGATTTTTTCAATGACTCACCACAACTCTAGGTGTTACCATCATCCACAATTCCTTTCTTATATTTCCACCTCTTACTTTCCAGTCTGGACGAATTATTTTTTTTATGATACGATCACTCCATTGGTGAGCCTGCAATCTGAAATTTAGAAAAAGGGTTTGTTATAACATTTAGACAAACAAAAAAAAAAAAAGTGGTAAAGTACAGTTATTTAAAAACGTGGCTAAATTAAGAATTATTTAAAATCTTAAGAAAATTATTTATACATGTGATACACTTTAAGTTTAGGGTTAGCAAAAGGAAGCAAAATGTGTGAATTTTCAAAAAACATTCCAGTTAAACTATTTGATAATAGATAGCTTGACCACTATTACTGATACTCTGATTCTTTGAATATTTTCTTACTTTATTAAAGTGAATGAGTGGTATTGAAAGCCAAACATATTTTAAATCAGAGACCATTCCCACAAAGTTTGCATGTCCCACTTACTAAACTATATATGTATCTGGTACCATGAGCAGCTGAGACATTTCATCCAATTTACTGATACATAAATCCAATATAAAAATGGAAGACCATTGGAAGTTCAAATAGCCTGTCTATCAAAAATAAATTACCCCTTATTGTGCCTTAACTTGATCCCCCAGTGGGTTAGCAGTAAGTCTGAACACTTATAAAGTTAAAACTTGGTTTCAATACCTGTGGTAGGCACATCATAGATAATCCATTATATAGCTTTGTTGTTAACAACAAACAAAGCCTTAAGCATCAAAACCTTCAAGAAGAACAAAACACTATCATGTAAAGCAATGATTCTATTTTCAATCTTATCTTTGGTGAGAAAGAAAAGAAATCTGTAACATGCACATGTAATCATTAAATACTTGGTCTGATATATAATATGGAATAATGACCTAGGCACAACCTCTAACATTATTCAAACATCTAAATTATTCTAGGTTACTTTATTGGTGATTGAAAAGGACTTAAAAACCCATTAATGTTATATAAAAATCACCATTATAAGAAACCTAATTGTATTTCTTTGGTTTGCTAGCCCAAGCTGTGCTGATTAACCTTGAATGGGTAAAACTGCAGTTTAAAGCAGAGGGTAGGGCCAATTAAAGAAAGTATTAGCCTCTACGTCACAGATTCTCTTTTCAATCTTATTTTTGTTGAGAAAGAAAAGAAATCTGTAGAATCACCTGACTATGATTACTAATCAATTACTTTTTGTGTAATGACTACTAATTAAAAAATCATTTTTTGTATGACAAGTTGCAGTTCTTTACTTCTTATGTTACATCCCGTAAAATATTCCCAGGTGCACTTATTCTTTGAGCTCTTATCTACCCATCCATTCATTCCAATATATATGTGTGGGTGTGAGTATATATATGCTACAAAATAAATAAACTGCCAGATTTTAGATTTAGATTTTACAGAGAAAGAATTTATATATATATATATATATAAAAAACGAAATACTACATTTAATCTAAACTATCACAACTTACTCTTTGTTAACTTGTGGTTTTCCATTAGAGCCTCGACGTGTAAGTGGGTTACCATTTTTATCCCGGAAATAGGCATACAAACTTACAGAGAAACCCTGAAATGGTTCATATCCATTTTATATATATTTCTTCAGAAGAGATAAGAATTTAAAACAAATTTATCATCCACCACAGCAAACATAGAGCAGTCAGCTGACAGGAGTATGATTTAAAAAATTTATTATAAAACAGAAACCTTATCAACAATTGTACAGAATAGTATAATCTCAAGTTGGTCATAAACCTATAAGGCATTAACAAACTTGGTCAAAAATATAAGGTCTAAGAATAAGTTATAAAAGCATGCAATATTAATTCAAGTACATTATCCAAGTACATTTTTCCATAAACTAAGCAAAGTGCTTGAATCATTCTTAAACTTTTTCATAAATCATATACAGGTGTGAAATATCACAATCCCGATACTTTGTCATTAGGAAAAAATAAGCTTATCTTTTAAACACTGACTATAACATTTACAAATATGAAGATTTTACACATAACTTGGTAATACATTTGTGCAGCTAAGCTACCTCTGTTTTTATATACATACATCACTTTTCTAAAATTAAAAACCATTATATGCATATTATGTTGGACTAAATTCTCTCATACAAACTATACAGTATATAAGTTGAGAGATGATTTATTTACATGAAAAAAGTGTATAAACAAAACATGTATGCAATACAAAAAAATAGTTATTAAAATTTACATTTCAGCTATTCATATTTTTTTATCTAAATTACTAAGCTTCAAAAAACTTAATGCATAAATCTTTGAAAAAATTAGAATACATTTTAATTTTTGTGAAAATGAGAGAACAGATACTGTATAAAATTAAACCTGGATTCATTCTTTACATAATGTTTGCAAATAGAGTTATTACATAATTCTGTTTTGTATATGAATAAGCTAGCACTTTTGAGCATGAAAATTTGACTCACCAGAGCATGGAGTATTTCATGCTTAACTGTTGAAAGCAGAGTATCCAGGTCTTGAGATTTAGTTGAGATTGAATTGGGGCACAAATTAGCATGGCCTGCAATAGGTCTGGAAAACATGCACATATATAAAAATTTAGTACATATTCAATATTTGGAGTTTCTACATTTGTTTTTTAAATTTTAAAGCAAATGAAACTACTGTATTAATGGTTTTATCAAATATTGCTGCATAAACAATAAAGAGCTCATCACCACTTATTCTAAATTGTTTTGTGGTGCAAAGATGCTTGGATCATTTGCCATATTCTAAAATTTAATGTAAATTCAAAAATATACTAAAATTCAGAGTACTATTCCATTCATTTACTCCATACAATATTTTGTTAACTCAAACAGTAATGTTATCTTCTATATTTTTCTACATACAGGGTGAGGCAAAATTCATACACCATCATGATTTTTCTACATCATGAACATGTTTCACAAATTGTAAATTTTTTCTTTTGTTTCAATAATCAGTTTGAATATCTTGAATCTTGAATGAATATCTGAAAGTGATCCTGTTGTGTTGTGATATAAATAGAGCTTTCAAGTCTCACGGTGGGTCAGCTGTAAGTCTACGGATTTACAATGCCCCTCTGTGGACACAGCAGTTAGCCGAAGTGACTTTGCTGTAACAAAACACATAAACATAAAAACACACAGAGTTTTCAGAACTTGGAAAAAAATATGGTGAACATGACTTTTGCATCACCCTAAATGTATATATAGCAGTTGTGTCTAAGATAGTCTTACATATTTCTTCTATCCATAACATCAGAGTCAAAGAACATTAACAATAAATATACCAAAATTAACCTTTCATTTTTGTCTATATCTATACAAGATTCATTACCAAATCAATAATTTCCATCTCTACAACCAATCACCTTATCTCTTGATATCTAACTTAGCTTTCTATTAAAAAACAAAACAAGAAAGCATTACAGACCTCTATGATATTGTGATTGTGACAACAAAATATATTAACTACAATATCTCTGCTTGAAAGAGTTCATATAAAATGTCCATAAAATACAAACCTATCTAGAGCCATCTCCTGCTGGCAGTGAGAAGCATAAGCTACAGTCTGACCTTTGTAACAGCGGTCCGTTTCCATAGCTGAAACATAAAACACAAAGTCTGCATCCCTTATGCCTTGTCCCTTTTGTTTTTGATGATATTGTGACCGGCAGTGATGTCCTGCTGCATTACATACCCTGCACCACTAAAAAACAACAACAAAAACATAACTGACAACAATTTAAGACTGGTGATATGTATTAAGTTGTGGTAACTAACCAATGTCTGCCACTCAACAATATTACAATATAAATATTTTTAAGCAGCAACTTCAAGAACTTAAATTATGTATTTGTATTTTGTGCAAGTACAATAAAAGTTGAAAAGTTATTTTACATGTAATACTGCTATATTATACCTACCTTAATACAATAATATCCAAAACTGAGGTATCATCAAGAAAGATGGAGAAGAACAAATGCTCTTATCAACTGAATGAAATGATTAATTTTCTAACTACTACACTTAAGATGGTATTTAACCACACTCAAACAATCCAATCTTCATAATAAGAACATATGAAACAATGTAAAACTACACCATCACATTCATATACGCATCTAATAAATTCTGAAAAACATTTAAACTAATAGCACACACCACATTATCAGACAAACCTTTCCACAAGTTATGACTCTAACAGTCTGGACATTGGTTTTTAAAGTTTAAATTTATTGTCCCTCAGTATTTAAGAGTTCATTTGCAATCATTCGTTTTCATTATGCCACTTGAAAAAAAAAACAAACCAAAATCCAAAAAACATGAAACAGATTATTCTATGTTTAAGAGAAAATAAATTCAAACCTTTATGTCTCTTTTAAAACCAGGTATCATTTTAAGAGCCCACCTCTGTGCTCTTTCCTGCATTTTGATATTTCATCAGGAGTAAAAGGGAATAAAACTACACAAAGAATTCTAAGTGAGGCCTTACTTTACCATAATCTTCATCAAGGTTGCAAGAAGAGGAGGGCTACTAGGGTGATACCTTGGATGGAATTTTTGTCATACAAGCACAGGTTAATATCTCTGAAATTGTTTCCCCTTGAAGAAAGAAGAGTTAGAGAGGATCTGATTGAGCCATCTAACATTTTTAGGGAAAATGATAGTGTCAATGCATCATCTTTGTTTCAATACTTAAAATGAGAATGGTAGGACTAGAAGACACAAATATAAATTTTGACAGGGTAGGAGTCATCTTCAGCTAACAGGACAGTTGGCCGTTGGAATGGGTTACCTTCAGATGTGGTGGATGTAATAAATATAAGGAAGTTTAAGGGTTTGTTTGTTTGTTATGGATTTTGTGCAAAGCTACACAAGGGCTATCTGCGCTAGCCATCCTTAATTTAGCAGTAAAAGACTAGAAGGAAGGCAGCTAGTCATCTCCACCCATGCTAACTCTTCGCTTGGGCTACTCTTTTACCAACGAATAGTGAGATTAACTGTCACATTATAACACCCCCATGACTGAAAGGGCGAGCATGTTTGGTGTGATAGGGATTTGAACCCGTGACCCGCAGATTACAAGATGAGTGCCCTAACCATCTGAAGTTTAAGGGAAAGCATGATAAATATTTGAATGATAAGGGCTGGCTTTTGAGTTTTTTTCAGTTTTAATTTAGTTAGATGGGATGGCCTAGATGGACCAACATGTCTCTTGTTGTCCTTAAATTTTATGTTATATTACATTCTACTAGTTTCTCTCACTACTGCTAAACACTGAGTTTGTAGATGCATGCTTTTTGTCAATGATTACATCTACAACTTTTTATTTTTCTTTACAACACTAATATTTCTCTCATTCAAGAAGTAAGGTTCTTCTCAATTTTCATACCCTAATTGCATGACTTTAAAGATTCAGCATTTAGATTGGAAAATGGTTATTTGTGATAGTTTAAATTGTTAAAAAGTTCCTGATTAGAAATTAGAATTGGATTAAATCTTTAGCTCAGTTGGTAGAGCACTTGCCTAGCATGCAATGGTTCTCAGGTTTGGCTCCAATCTTATGGAAAAAATTATAATTCAAATTAATGACCCAGAGATAAGGAGTCTTAATGACAGGCCTAGTTTGTATAAAAAGGGAAAACATAGTAATTTCAGTTGTTAAGAAGTGCCTTATTAGCAATTGCTAGTGGGGCCTGTAACTCAGTTGTTAGAATACTGGTCATAGTTCAAATCCTAACATCAAAACAATTTCATCTCTACTTCTTGAATCTTCAACTAAACCAAATAGTTAATTGCTAAAGCAAACAGATCATATCTACATAAACCTTGCACATACATAAAAATTGTAATTAATTTCTTTATTTAGTACTAACTGTAAGCATGTACAAAAAGCACTTGCTTTAGGAGCCTGATTTTAAAATGATTATTTAGATTATGTAGGCTGCAGTTTGATTATAACTATTATTTTGGATCTGACTTCCTGGTTTCACATTTTTTCAAAGGATAATAACATTTATAGTCTGAATCATATACATATGTTATGAAGATATCGCCAGTGTAACAGCTCTGTGTATGTGTACTGCTAATATTAGAAAGTTTAACTGGATGTGCAAGATATAGTTTAATGGTTACCTATAGGAATTTAATGATAATCCTAGAAAGTGTAGTAACACATTATTGAGATAGATGTTTTAAAAGTTTAAAAATCTGTAAGTTTGGTAATATTCTTATTTTTGCTTAATGTTGATTTTTGAAATAGAAATTAAATACATTGTCAATAATAGGCATTATGAACTTAGACTTGTTTAACTAAGCCAGTGGTTCTCAAATGTTGGAAACTAGCCTATCCCCTTTTCAAATTAAGTACAAACTTATGCACTCCCATGATTTTGTTACTGAATTTATATTTTCATTTTATCTTAGTAATTATTATTTTTGAACAGTGTTTCTTTAATTAAGATAAAACTGGAATTATACAACTAATGAAACAACATCTCTACATTGACTAATTAATATTTAATAATTAAATTTTAGCTTCAATAAATATTATTTTAGGTAAAAAAGGATTTATCTGGTTTTGATAAACACATATAATTCTAAATATTTCAAAATAAATTTAATTAATGTTTTACTTTCTCCACAAAATGTTGGTAATTTTAAGATAAAGGATAAGGTTTTGATTAACTGAAATTTTACTGTTTAGTTTATAATTTTTCAAAACCTATGTGATTAAAAATGAACAGAGATGTTCACCTCCAAATGTTCCTCGGGAACCACAACTTCTCCACATGTTGTCACATTCTCACAATGCTCAACACAATATTGTTGTTTCCTATCTTGCTCTGGGAAAAAGGCCTGATTCTTTGGACATTTTCTAAGGACAAATTATCACAACATAAATATGAGATAACAATGTAGTCTGCATACTCTGTCTTTCTTATACAAGCTACCTTTTAGTACATGTCCTAAATTTGAACAGTCTACCTATCATACATATTTCAATGTAACACAAGTTTTAATGGTCTAGATATCCTAGTATTTTCCTCCTATTTCACATAACTTTGGTATCCTAACCCCTTTCAATAAAGTTTATATAATGTAATTAAAGTTTAATCCAATATTTTCCAGGAATATCATGAACAGTAGTTCCGAAAAGTATTACAAATGAGTGACATGAAATGACTTAAAAAAAAACAAAATCAACTTAAAAGAAAATTGATGAATTATTTGACATGGAGTCCCAAACAATAATGAAAAATAAACCTGTTAATGTGTAAACAATATCAAAGTGTTAGAAGTGAGCTTACCTGTTTAGCCTGATTGGTACATTCATGGGTCTAACAAATAATGCTTTCTGCCAATAATCCACTGCTTGGGGAAGGATGGTATTCTACAGAAAAAAAATCTCCATTAATGACTTTGTGGAAAGGAAAACAATAACTATGTCCTTTCCAATTAAATTATGTTAAGAGGAAAGAAGGAAAGAGATTCAATACACTAAATTTATACCCTAGTTTAAGAAACAGTCATGCATTTTGGATGAAAAATTTGATAAGCCATTCTGTTTTATTATTTTTGTTTCCACAATAAAACTTTACTGAGTGTTATAACTTTGTGTAGTGTAAGTACAAGTTGTAATGTATGAGAAATAATCCTTCTGAGGAATTCTCTGATGATGGCAGCATATTAATGGTGTAAAATAAGAACTAGTTAATAATTAGTAACTAGATGTTTTCCCTTACTTCAATCCTTTTAGTTAGGCCTGAAATGCTTTATTAACTTAGGCATTTCACACTAGTAAATTAACTCTTCATACCCATAATTTTGTGTACATTCTGCCGGAATTATTTCATGATGTCCTAATAATTATCATCATACCTTAAAAAATTTCCAGTCTATTTGTAAAAGGTGGATAATAACATGGTTTGGATTAGTTTTCAGCCAAAGAGACATAAATGTTATCAGATGCTGTTATCGTCCAATAGGTAAATCAGGATTTTTGGCCAGATGCTGGCACCATCCATTCAGGTTTAAACAGTTAAGATATTCAAACACTGGGTAGAAATTCATATTCTATAAACTAAAGTAGGATTAACAAAATGCATTACATTGTTTCAGTTGTGTTTACATTGTGTAACAGTTATAATGTTTTGTGAGAGCTTTTAATCAGGACATTCAGCTTGTTTTAGCATAACTTTGAGAAGTTAAAAAAATAAAAGTCTGAAATAAAGTTAACATTAAGATCTTTCAACCTTAAATTAATATTGATGTCTCAAAGTTTGCTTTTTTTATTTTCTCTCGGTCTATAATTAAAACTATCTAAATTTTAATTACACTTAATTGGATATCCTATCTAAAGAAATTCATACAATTTCAAACCATTAACTACAGTAAAGACAGGAAGTAGAAATCTCATTAAACATTTACTAATACAGCAGTGAGGAATTTGGCTTCATTAAGAAAGGGTAGTTACTTTTAGAATTAATGATACAATGATCATCACTGGAAATTTGTTAATGTTAAAACATTATAGAAATTTTCTCACAGTTCACTTTATCATTACTAGATACAACAGTATAAAATATTTAAAAAAATGTATAAAGATGTATAAAACATTTTCCTGTTATTTATTGAAACAAGTACATATAAGCAATGGATGGTTAAAGTTAATACTATGGTAAACATCCAGCTGCTTGGTTCACCTGAACAAGAACTCTTATACAACACCTGGGACTGTATTTTGGTTGCTAAGTGACTGTTACCCATGTGCTACAAACCAATAAGCAAGGCAAATTCTGTATAAAAGGTGGGTAGATTTTAGCAGTAGTCAGTCAGTGTCAGGGAGCCTCTACAAGCTGCCAGTCTTCACCAGAAGATGAGCCATCAGCCAACTCCTGCTCCACCAATGCAACTTTTGGCTTCCAACTGAGTACATTTTTTTCTACATGTAACCAAGAACTTAGTTTTTGTTAAGTGCCAGTCTAAATTCTTTAGTTACATTAAGATTATAACTGTTGTCTTGTTATCATGATGATAAACTACTGTATTCACCAGTGTTAATAAATGTTGTGTGTTTTTTGTTGAAAAAGCCTCTGACACATTCCTTATTCTCAAGTCAATCTCCTTCAAGTTGATGATCTCCACTGACTGCATTCCAGGTATTTTCAATTAAATACAATTTGTACTATTTGTAAGAATTGACTATCTGATCAATAGTGCCCATTACATTATTTTGTCTTTAATGCAGTCTAATAAATTTCATATCAAAGAGGTTTTCTTATTTTTGAATGTTTAACTACAATTCAAATGTAACAGAATTAATTTAAGTAATCAGCATTTGTAATAAATTAATGTACATTTTTGTTGTGGAATTAAAACAGATGATATTATTTTAGTTTTTTGTCTCTATATATAAAGCACAAAAATCGGTGTGTATGTCTGTTTGTCCTTTATCTAACTACTAATACGTCACTGGGCCAATCTCAACCAAACTTTGTGGGATGATTGTTTGGCATGAGGGGCATGTTACTGGTGGGTTCACAACCCCTTCCACCCTCATTATTGCTGCCATTGAGCATTTGTTACCTTTAACGTAAGTTAAAGTTAACAATATTCATAGATAGCGCCACGTCCTTACACCGAAAAAATAAACTTTATTAATTTTTTTATATGAGGATATCTCTTGGCCTTCATACCACTGGAGAACAAGGAATATGGATCAAATTTGGACTGTAACCAACTGACAAAGAGACCTTCAACATGTCATACACCAGCTGTGGTAAGTAAAGTGAAACGTCTTTGCAACAAATGTTACTAGCAAAAGCCATCCACGTCACCCAAGCAACAGTGCGTAATATAATCAAGAAGGATCTCGATCTGGAAAAGTTACGAGTACACGAGTTTCTTCCATGAAATATCCATTCAGCAGCTAGAGAATGAAATGGGTTAACATGCTATTCCATACAGAAGCATACTAGCAAGTCGCCAGATGCAGTACCCGTGGACTTCTATGAAATCAGACTATCAAAATGGGCACTGGGAAACCATTGTCCTCCTATACTAGATAGATTTGGAAATCTTGCAGAGAGGAGTGATGCGCTTTGGATAGAAAGCCTTATGACAGAGCCTTTTGCAATGGAAACTGGTGTGGCTCCAAAATCGTTTTAATATAAATTAAATCTATGAATAAGTATTAATAAACAAAGGTGAGGAATATTTTTATAACCGTTTTGGTTTAAGTACTTTACTCTCAAAGTTAAAATAATGTAAAATTAAACAACATATTACGTATTTATATAAATTCTACAAAACAGCGTACTTGTAAAGAACCAGAAAGGTTTTGCACTTACATTAATCATATCAAATTTGTCCTTAGGCAACCTGATGTGGAAGTAAAAGAAAAACAAAACAAACAATTTAAAAATACACTAATACAAACAACTAAAAAAAGAAAAAAACTGTAATTTAAAATTTTATCGAAATTTAAAAACAAGTTTCATGTAAAATATATTTCATACTTGTCTAAAACTACTCATTTTCACGGTTATCGTAAAAATAAAAAAATACCTACGTGCATATAAATATTTGCATACATTTTAAAAACAGCTTCATAATTTTTACCAACAGGTGCTGGCTTTTAAGTTGTTGTCAATTTTATTTAAATGTCAGTTAAAATAATTCAGAGTTGTGAATTATTAAGTCTTAAATATATTCAAGAAAACAATATCTACTTCTCTTTCGTAAGTTTCATAGCTAAACATTTTTTTAATAACCTTGAACAATGAGGAAAATGCACTTCTGAAAACCTTTCACTAGCAATAACTTTAAATCTCAAATAAAATCGCTCAGTAATTTCACCAAGAAATCTACGAGATTAAAGAAATTGAAAAATTATCAGTTCTAAAGAAAATATATATTTTTGATTACAGTCAATCAAGTTTTGGTTAGTAATTTATAACACAAAGCTTGATATAAAGAAGTTTTGAATGTGTGCGTGTATTTGTTTATTTATCTATTTCGAAAAGTACATAAAACTGAACTAAACTGTTCACCGTCGTTTTAGAAACTTTTTACTTCACACAAAAAAGAACCCGTGACTTGAAATTTCACACGTTTTGTACTTCATCAATCATCTGTTTCGTCTACAGACGCTATCCACTTTGACACTTTCAGTGCACTTAAATACACACTATTATCGTCAAATAGCTTAATTCTAAACGGCTGTGTAATGCTTTATACACGAGTACTTGTATCACATCAAATCACGTGCACTGAAGCGTCAAAGAGAGCATCTGTAGACGTAATAATTGACTGACGAAGCTTTAAGTTGTTTTTTATCAAACAAAAAATTTAAAAAAAGATGATGAACAGTTTAGTTAAATATGACACAAGTTTTCAAATACACAAACAAATAAAGTGCATGTTATGGACTAAATATCATTCGGAAAGAATTATTTACACACGAAGATAATATATTTTTGTCCAAGCTGACATATCAGGCGATTGAATTAAAAATCGCACAGTACATATTTTAAATGTGAATGTCTCTTTGAAACGAACCACTCCAAATGTAAGTTTATATAGTTAACAGATGTTTAAACGAAATATTATCAGGATGTTAACATTATTCCATTTCCTTCCAAAACCAGAACGTTAATTCTTTAGAAAGAACTGAACAGAATTTGGACGCCCAATCATCTTGGTTTATTATGTCTAAGCTAAGGAGAGACGCAAAGAAGTTAAAACAACTTAACGGGCAAAAATGAAGTCAGTTACAGGTGCTCAAACTATGAATCAAATGTAAGAAAGTATAAACGCAACTTAAGTGGTATATTTTAATGTGACAAACAAAACTGAAGTAGCATAGGTTAATTTCTTACAAATTGGTGTAACAGACGAGCCCAACGTTACACTTCTCAGATTACGGATAACATCTCCAGAAATAGCCTAATGTCGACATTTTAATGACATATATAAAAACTGAAAACTTACCTATACACACTACTGTCGTAAAAAAGCTTAATTCTAAGTGGCTGGGTAATGCTTCTTTTTTTCACAACGTGAGCGGATTCTAGATGAACATGATGTAAAACCTAAAAAATGCAAAGAAAAATTCTAAGTTCTGCAGTCTTCTTGTTTACCAAGATGAGAATGGGATTATCCATGAAACTCTTAGTGATAATAACTGTATGGGCATGGCCAGGTGGTTAGGGCGCTCGACTCGCAATCTGAGGGTCGCGGGTTCGAATCCCTGTTACACCAAACATGCTCGCCCTTTCAGCCGTGGGGGCGTTATAATGTGACGGTCAATCCCACTATTTGTTGGTAAAAGAGTAGCCGAAGAGTTGGTGGTGGGTGGTCTAGTTTTACACTTCTAAATTTGGAGCGGCTAGCGCAGATAGCCCTCGTGTAGCTTTGCGTGAAATTCAAAACAAACAAACTTGCATTCTGACGTTTCATTTTCTTTCTCAAATGTGATAAGTCATATTTCCGTTCGGCAATTTTTCGCATTGTGATTTTCGATGTTTTTGATCACTTCATACTGATACTGAAGTAAACAAATAATTGTGTAACTTACGAAAATCGCGTTAGTACAAGATTCCTGCAAATTTGTATGCAACGAACTACAAGCGAAGGACTTGCGATTCTTTCGGTAACAGAACAATTCAATTCATAGCGTACGCTTGAATTCTCCAGCAGAAGTTTTTAGAAGTTGTATTAAAACAAATTAATCTCGTTGATAATAATAAATGTACAAAATTAATGTACATTATTAAAAAGGAAAGTGTGTGTGTGTGTGTTTTCCTTATACCCAAGCCACATCAGATTATCAGCTGTGTCCACCGATGGGAATCGAACCCCTGATTTTAAATCCATTGTGAGTAAGGATTAAAGCTTGAATTAAGCGGTTATAGAGATGGTCGCTATTAGTCAGACAGCCATGGCCAGAGCGTCAAGTTTTGGTTAACTCTGGGGTGAAAGAAAACCACTACGACCATTGTATCCACAGAAAAAGCCACAGCAAAAGACTCCTCATGATCAAGTCCTACAGATCCATATACTTTATTTCGAATTTTCCGAATCTCGTGTGGACTCTTCTTTGTTACCGAAAATTATACAAATGATCCAACTGACTCGGATATTTGTTGTTAAATTATTCATCTACTTTTAATAACTGGTCACCTTTGTTCTCTTAATAATCCTCCTTTGAAGTATGGCTGTTGCACAAGTTCGCTTTAGCAATGTGACCTTTAAAATACCCCAGTGAATTAAAACAATTATAACTTGTTCATTAGCAAAAGAGGTCATATACACACGGGCTGTAATACTGTTCTGTAGACATCTAGACAATCTTGCCATATACTAAATGAGACACAAGTTTATATGCGCTTATGTAATTTACAGCATTAAATTTAATTAATTCAATATATAACATTAAAGTTCCTTAAATAGTGATAATTACATTGACTAAATGTGTTATGCATGATAAATGAAGCTTCACACGTAACAATTCTGTTTCAGTTTTTAGTAATTCACTTAAGCAGAGCCAACCTTGTCAGGAATTCTTGGATTAAGGCTAAGAGGGAGGAAAACTGATGACTTAAGGCAGAGTGAACCTAAAGGTTTTTTATTCGCCAGCCATTCACAATCAAACCTAATTATTACTAACTGTAATTTTTATGGAATATTTTAGCAAATCTTTTGGTAAAGGTTATACATAACTATCCAGGGCTCAAAAATTTTCATGGGCAGCACTTTTGAAAAACCAAAGCAAGGTAGGTGTATAAAGACTGACTGTATCAAGTGAACTACATGCCACAAGGGTCTATCATGGGGCGGTACATGAAACTATATTTGATGACTACAAGTTATAAAACCGTAATGAGAGGTTCAAGTTTCACATATACAGCAGTACCCAACCGTGACTTATACTGCCCTATTACATCTTATGGAAGATATAGAGCAGCTATACTATGTTTTTACAGTAGCGTTACGAACAAGTAGAATTTCAGTTCTTGTACCTAAAACAGGGAACTACTGCAACTTTTCAAATAATATTTCTCAAAAATTGGTTTGTTTGTAATTAAGCACAAAGCTACACAATGGGCTATCTGTGCTCTGCCCACCACGGGTATCGAAACCCGGATTTAGCGTTGTAAGTCCACAGACATACCGAGGTGCCACTGGGGAGAGGGGGCTCAAAAATTGGAAGAAATTTATTTAAGATAACATTTGTATTCGACAAAAACCGGTTTAGGAAGGGCAAGCGCTACGTAACATTACTGTTTTAGCTTACGCATTGCTTCAATAAAACCCTTAAATATGCCCAGTCATAAAGCTATATGTTTCACATTTCGTTAAAATTAAAGAGAAAAATATACAATGTTTGTAAAAAAATAAATTTCCACTTCGCTTTAAGTAGAAACTTACAGCGGTGCATGAAGAAAACTACAAGTGTTTATGTTTTCCGTAAGTAAGGTACATACTCTTCTTCCCTTAATGTTACTTTTATTACCAGTACTGATTAGAATGTTTAATATATCCGTTATTATTTTTAATTATTTATTATTATATTTTCACTAGCATCATGGTGAAATGATTATCAACAAAACGTTCTCAACTCACGCCATTTATACTTACTGCTCAAGTCAGCTATATTAATCGCACATTGCCCACAACGTTATGAAATTTAAAAAGTGTGCACAGTAATGCCCGAAAATAGCTTCCACAAAATCCTATTAACCGTGATTTGTTTTGCTAAAAGATGGTGCAACCTTTTTTTTTCACAATCTCATGCGATCAATTAGTTTTGTAAAATCTCGTTATTATTATTTTTTCATATAATCTGTAATATAAATGAACAAAAATAAAAACAAAACTTATAGATTATATTTTCTTATTTAAGTCACATATGGATACTTATGACTGAGACTAATGGTGATCACAATATGACGGCTAAGATGGTTAAAGCATGGCAACTGGACATGGTGATGTGAAGACGACGATCACGATATGACGGCTAAATGTGGTTATGAGTACAAGCTTCGTAACTGGACATAGTCATATAAAATCGGAGACTAGTGGTGGTCGTGATCTAATGGGATTATGTAGTTTAAAAGACAGGCCTAATGGCATCTGGGCGTAGTTTCAAGTCCTCGTCAAACGTAGATTTCACTTCCACAATAAAAGTAATTACCTGTTATGCCCTATGGTCCCATGCACGCATGCGCTGTATAGTAAGTGTCTCCCGAGTAAGCTCTATTCTTTTATTGGTTATTTTCTGCCAAGGTTTAGTGTTTAACCCTCCACACAATAAACTGTAACAACATTAACAATGGTAGTGGTCTCTCGTGTCAACTTAAACGTTTCTATTGGTTCTTTTCCAGATGAATGAGATAAGCTATTATTAGACTTGTATTTTTATTCTCCACTGGTATGCGAAGACGCAACTTTACTTGAATAGGATCTGTGATATAAACAACTTTGTTTGGTTTACTTTTATTATGGAAAATGTGGTCAAATATAATGCGTGTTATTAAAGAAAATACGCACACTAACGTTAGTATTTAACTCGTTTTTTGTTTTTTTTTAATCTTCAGATGAAAATTTCCAGGCACCCTAGAAGTAAGATACATTCTATGGATTATTGATTTGTACCAAGAATAACAATACATAAAATCCCGTGGGCAAGTGATCACAGTACTTTTGCCACTGGAAGTTCACTAAACAGCTGCTAATAACTAGCTGATACCATATAAACCCGTATACCCTTTTTTTCGCGATAGTTGCTGTAAGGTTTTTATCGGTAAAATGAAAATCAATATGTGAACCGTTAATCGTCTATAATAACACAGTTCTAGAGAACGGAATGGTAAAAAATAACCCGCCTGTGATGCAATAAAAGCACTGAAACTCAATAACAACAGCAAAAAAGGTGTTCGAAATAACAAAAGTTAATATTGGATACGGCCTAAGAATTGGAATAATAATGCATTATACAGAAAAAAAAAACACTTTGTATAAGTAATTTTGGTAAAACAATAATCTAAAAAGTAGAAACGGAATGATTGTTCAAAATACGCATTAACCCAGAAAGACAAGTAATAAAACATTAAGCCCAAGGGTTGAAAGCATGCAGTAAAGAAAACAACAAAGTAACGTATATAAGATTTATGGGGGTTTTAATTCACCATATAGTAAACTCAATTAATTTATATTATATCAATATTATGGCATTGCGCCTAATTTATTATTCGATATTACATAGCAGACCAACCTAAAAGGCCTAACTATATTTCTTTGGTTTGATGACCCCAAGCTGTGCTTATGAGCCTTGAATAGGTGAAACAGCAGTCCGCAGCAGAGGGTGCAGCCAATCAACGAATGGATTAAACCTCTACGTCACAGATGATCCTTTCAATTTTACCTTTCTTGAAAAGAAACGAAATCTGTAACGTATAAATATAAGGCAGCGTACCACCAGGTCTTATATATTTTATAGTTTCTGAATTTTTTATAATTAGGCCTAAATACTATATGCTGAATGATACAGATATTACGTAATTGACTTTACGAACGCATACAAGTATGTTAGACAAATATATGACACTCAGTTCGTTTGTTTGTTTGAGAATGTTCATGCAATCCTACACAAGAAATATCTGCGCATAGCCGTCCCTAATTTTGAACTAATAGACTAGAGGGAAGGCAGCTAGTCAATACCACCTACCGCCAACTCTTAAACTGTTATAATCGAATAGTGGGATTTGACCGTCACTATTATTACACACCGACAGCCCCAAAATATATGGCACGAGTTAGCAGCAACTAGACGCGATCAAGATCCTCGATTTTTCAAGCCAAGCACACATACCACTTGACCTATAGCAGCCAATAACCTCTCATCATAGTTACCTTCAAAATCGCTAATCTGTAGTCCGATAAAGAGAAGCAAGCATATGAACTAGGGGCGTTTTCAGCTTTTTGCAAGGGGGATATTCAACCCCAGCATTCTGGGGTTTGAGCCCCCCTGAAGCCAGAGTATATCATCCTTATAGAACAGTGAAATGATGGAAATACAAACACTTGAAAG